CTTTCACCTCTGGTGGTGCAACTCAGAGTCCCAGACTTGGATAAAAAAGCACCCTGTGTTAGGCACCCTGTGTTAGGCACCCTATGGATCCAGCTAACCTCCATCCTTGGTAGATAGGGTCAAAGCAATCCCTGTCAGACATTTCATTTACAGTCAAAGACCATACTGTACAGTAAGACTTTGCAAGAGGCATTTTTTTACTTGATTCTGTTGTTGAAAAGTGCTGCTTTTTGTCAGTGTTTGGCACTTTATGGAACCTCTCTTTTCCCATTGCTGTTTTCCAGCTGTGCTTTTCCCAGCTGCTCAGCGATTCAAGAGGTCCTCAGCTGCCTTCCTGAATCCAGTGTTACAAAACTCGCTGGAAGATGTGGTCCTGCTTTATGAGGTTCAGTATTATGATACCTTAAGCCTTAACTAAGACTGGGAGTACTGCCCATAATTGGGTTATCCATTATCTGGCTTTGTGTCCCTTTTTTTCATCCCAGCAGTAAAGCTGTGGCTATGTGATAGTGCACCAGAAAGGTGGGAACACATAGCAACTTTCTGTCCTTCCCCACCTCCAGACAGTGCAACTGTCTCCATTTGACAAAAATTAAAGACCCCAGAACATGTTGTTAATTCACATGTACTCTGTCTAGAGTCTCTTGGAGAAAATAAATAGCTTTCTGTGTTCTGATTTTGTACCAGTTTCTTTTAGCTGAGCTTGACATCGACAAAGGTCAGAGGATCTCCATCAAAGACGAGGAGCTGGCTTCCCTGAGGAAGGCTGCTGAGTTTGACACCATCTGCAACGAGATTATCCCCAAGAGCATCACAGAGATCCGCAGGCTGAGCAGCAGGCTGTCTTCCTACCCGAGGGTCCTCAAGAAGGAAGACTTTGAAAGGACAGTGCTGACCATGGTCTACACGGCCTACAGAGCTGCTCAGTCCCAGGGGCACCAGAAAGACACTTGGGCTGAGTCCTTTGTCAATCTCTACAAAGCCCTGAAGAACGACTTGATGCTCCCATACAACAAACAGCCCTCTTAGTGGAAGGGGAGCAACAGATCAGCCAGCTGCTCTGGTTGGTGAAGGACACCTTGTAGCACGCCCACCACTTTATTCTGTAAAGAGTTTAATAGTCTGCTTCGTGAAAGATTGTTCGTTTTCTGGCTCCCTCTTGTGGAGCCTGCTTTCTAGTTCCATGCTAAATGGTGAAAAACCTCTTCAGTCCTGAGAATTCGGTTTTTGTGCTGGCTTGGAGGCACGTTCTGTGACAGGAAAAGAAGGCAGTTTGGTGCACAGCTAGACAGTCCCTTTCAGTTTCAGGCAAACCCTTGATTCATCCTTTGGGTTTCCTATAAGCAATACATAAATATACTGTTCTTATGCTCACATGCTGGTGTGAAAGTGCTGGAGAGGGCTGCTTTCCTAGCTGAGGAAACAAGTTCATGCTTTGGCTGGCCAGTAAGAGAATATTACACAGAGATGAAGGCCCACTGTAAAAGGAAGAGGTTTCATAACTGTCAGCCTTCAGAAATTATGCCACATATTATCCATTCCAAATGTTCTCATAAATAAGCACCCTCTGATTCACTTCATTTGGCTGAGCCAGTGTTTAATTGCAATAACATTTTCAGAAGACAAAGGGCATTGTGAAGACCAGCAGCAAACAATGCCTGTGAACGTATTCCCCCCTTCCTGGAGCTGTCCTCCCAAACAGTCTGCAGTGATTCTTTCATTATTTGCACATGACTTTGCTTCTGCTGCTTGTTTTTGTCCTCAGTGGAATCCAAGGCAAGACAAAAGTCCTATTTAATTTGATAATGACACATTTCTCCTGGTTCTGTTGCTTGAACGTAGGTCATCTAAACCTATGCTCTACAATCCCACTGAGGCAAGAGAGGAAGGTGCATTAAAACTTACCTGGTGCTGAATTTGGCACTGTGGCTCTTTTTTTTTAGTAGTAAATTGTATATTCATTTCAGTATCCTTGTGTTTCTGTGTGTGTGTCTATGTTCATGCATGTGTGTGCACATGAGTGCTGAGTACGTAGAAGAATCCCAAATTGTTCAGTCAGTGAACAATTGCATCTGACCACTTGGCAGAAAAGGCTATTTACCAATTCAGTGGTGCAAATTATGAATTTGGGACTAGCAAAGGAAAAACTGTAGAAATACTGCAACCAATTATAATGAACTCCCAAAAAAGTAATGAACGGAAAATAGACAGAAAATGGAGATCTATTTTGTCAGAAGGATGACTAGCTATCAAAAATCCAGACTCTTCTAAATCAAACCCCCAATGTTTGTGCACAGGAGATACAAACTCTGTTTTTCTATTGATATTAGAGGTGCTTCTGCTTCTAGACCATGGGAAAATAGCTGAACATGTATTTCATCCTTTCATATCATCATTCTCTATTTTTTTATTACATAATATATTAAGGATGCAGGTCCAAATCACAAATCCCCAAGACTAAAACCGACCTAAGCATTCCAGCCCAAGTTCTGAATCATGTTTAACTGTTTTTGCATCACTTGAGCAAAAGGAATTAATTCTTCTGTGTCCCTTAACAGGGGTACTTCAAGGATTGGAGCTGAAAAAATCCGCCCAGAAGCACAGCAAAGAGCACAGTGCAAGCAGTCAGAGCAGTGGGCTTGGCAAACACCTGTGGGAATGTGGAAGCACAGCAGCCTTGGGGCAGTCTGCCCATGGCATTAGCAGCTGGACAAAGGGCTTATGAAAGACAGACTCAGTTTTGTTTCCCCCAGGAGTTTCTGGATTTGTGCGTACGAGCATGCACGTTCATTTAGACACACAAATGTGTAAGTGCATTTTATACCTGAAGATTTTTGTTGGCCATTTTCAAAGCCTGTCTGGCAGATGGCAAAGGAAACTGCAAAGTTCAGGCACAGAGCTGTGGGCCACACATATCTCTGTCTCCTCTGCTTGCACACACAGAGCTCAGCACCCCCAAAGCAGCCTTGCTTTCCTGCCCACATGCCCTTTGATCCCTCAGCTTTAACACTCATGATCTGCTTGTGATTCCTTCCCCCCATGCTTTATAAACACATGAAGGGGAAATGCCACAGAGTGCAACACTGCCTTTCCAGCTCTGCTTCTTGGCTCCCTGAAACACCACTTGCTGGAAGGGCCTGGAACGAGGGCAATTAATAAATGCCTCATAGCCAGCTGCTCCAAGTCTGCAAAAATCACAAGAAAGAGAACTAGAGCAAATATTAATTGCTGTCTCAATAATCAGAGAAATACCTCCCAGCCATGCTCCTTGCCCCACAACAGGACTGCCCATCAGAGTTTACTAATAATAAAATATCCCATAAAAAGAATTACAGATAATTTTTAATATCTTATCATTCCCTATGGCATACATACCTTGTCATACTTACAAATTGGTAACTGAAACATTTATCTCCTCAACAGAAAATAGAGGTTTTATGAATTTGTTTCCCTCCTTCTTTTACTGTGTCTAATGTAAGAAAAAGATTTATTCCTTGGGAAAGTGCTTGGACTGCCCAGGTTAATTTAACAGAGACTCTCAATGTAATAATAAAAACATTCTACATAAAAGTCCTTGCCTTTGCATTGTATTGATTTCAGCAGTAGATTTACTATTTTACAACTTCAGCTTGAGTAATTGCTTACCTCAGACTGTGAAACTCTTCATGGGAGCAATGGCACCGGGGAGAAGAGGGAACAGCCCTTCTCTCTAAAGGAGATAAAAAACAGAAATGAGAGTGCCTCCTTTTTCCAGGATTCAGGTGGAAAGAAGCACTCTGCCTTCAGGGAAGTTCTGAGGGCTTAGGACACATTTCTACCTCAGTATTGTGGTTTAGGTTGCTTTCTCCCTATCTCAGTTTTTGTCTTATCAATTTGGACTGAATCTTCTTTATGGGCAGTTCTTATATCACAGATTAGAAAACCATTGTCCCTAAATGGAACATTTTATCCACCCTTTGACCTTATGGATCATAAAAATATGAAATAAGATTATATATTTCCACTTAAAATAAAACAAATTTTCATTTTATGGACATTTTAGACCTCTTTTTTGTTATGTACTTAGTTTCTCTGAAACTATTAAAAAAAGAGATCCTGAGCTGTATTGGCCAGCCCAAAATCTTCACATGAACTATAGCTTATCTTCCAGATCTAGTTGTTGTTTACCTGAAAGGTCTCATACTTTGAGAGTGTTGCTTGATGGAAGTTTTGAGGTATAGAAATCTAAGATACAAGTATTAATTTCAGGGAGAATTCACCCTGCACATCAAACTCCTCTGCAAGGCTGCATTTGCCAGAGGAGTTTGATGTGCAGGATGAATTCTTCCTGAAATTAATACTTGTATCTTAGTTTTCTGGCAGAGGACAGGCAAGCAAGTTTGGGGGGCATGGAAAATCCTAGATGTATTCTTCCCATGAGATACAGGGCAAATATACATTTGTCTGCCTACAGATGGTGCATGTAATCAGCCAGTGGGTTCAGTCCTAAATCTCCAGTGCTTTCTGCCCCACAAAAAAGCATTAATAACAGAAGAGTTGGAAAAATGCTTTTTCCCCTAGAAGACAATAGTAGAAAGTCTAAAAATTCTCAATTTGATTTGGAACCCTATGGTTACTCAAGGCAGAGGAGTCAGTACTGAGATCAGCCCATGCTTTCTGAATTAGTGACATCCAAGGGTTGTGATGGAAGAAACACGAAGACAAAAGATACTGTTCAGAAAACAACGATTATTTATTTATCATCAGTACAGGGACCCTGCAACAATAACAAACTGTTCAGCAGCCTAAAAAAGGTCTTTTTATATATTTGTGGGAATGTCAGGAGGCTGTTGATTTTTTCAAATGTTCTGACTGGGTTTGGGACAATGGGTGGAGCAACTTCTACCTTCTGTAGTCCTCATTGGTGAATTAGAGTTGCCTGTAGCTTTTTAACAAATTTTTGTCTTGAGATCAAGTATAATCCATGTTGGAATTACTCCCCTGTGAGTTCCAAGCTCAGGGCAAAAGTAGGGTAAAGGTAGATACAAAATAGAAGCAAAGAAATAAAATCTGAAGGATCTGCAAATGGAGGGGGAATTTGGTATTTTCTTTAAAGAAGTACCAGAAAATTTACTTCTATGCATTGGAAAATAAATTATTTTGTTTAGTAATCTTCCAGCAGAAAAGAAACTGTATTTGAAACTTTCAGACTATCAAACTGTATTTGAAACTTTCAGCCGCTCAAAACAAATCTTGCCTGGTTTATGAAAAAGGAAATAACACCACTAGATGATGCAAGAAAAAATCTTTATAAAACATGGGAATAAGGATACAACACGTCTACGACTGTGAGTCTGAATGAAAAACAAAATTTGTCAAAAGATCACTATGCTCCAACTTGCAAACCTCTGCATGTTATGGTGTGATAATAATTCAGATGTGCTGGTGAGCCCTACCTAAATGGAATGTATTTTTAATTTAAAAACCTTTTCAAAACAACAGATTGAAGAATAAATAAAGTAAGAAAGATATTTTTGGTGGCTGTAGGGATCGGAGATGAGGTTGTGAGAATTTTTTGGGGGGAAATCCAGCCACAGGTGAAGGAAAACGTGGCATGAAAATTGGAATATCTGAGGAACCAGAGAAGAATCTGAAGGAGAAGAAAACCACCAGAAGGAGCATGGCAGTGATGAAGGAGATTCTCCGATCCAGAAATCTCTTGCTTGTTGTCCTCATTCCACTTCTGCTGCTTCCTCTGCCACTTATATACCCCAGCAGTGTAAGTACATTTTCATTTTCTTTTTAACAAACCTCTGAGTGCGGCAGGTAGTCCTGCTGATTAAGTTTGCAGCGTGCAAAAAGAAAGACAAAGATGTCAAGAAGTGCAGATATTAGAAGAATTAAAGACTCACATTTGAAGGACTGTCAGGGTCACTGATAAATCATCACTAAGAGCTAGAGCTACCTTGAGTCATGTCACAAGCAGAGCTGAAGAGTCAGGTGAAGCTAGAAAAGCACTGCTTTAAAGCAGAAGTGTTGGATCTCTTTCTAAAATAATATTGTGTGGAAGGGGGAACAGAACAAACACATCCATGATATTTTTTTTAAGGAGAGGTCTTTAAAAGGTATGCTTATAGAGTCTTTAGTTTTTTAGTTATAAGTATGTATGGAGGGACTTTCAATTTAGGGTGGGTTTATAAAGACAGCAACTCAGGAGCTGGGGCTGGGTGACAAATGCATGGCCCTGGCTGCTCCAGAGCAGGTGTAGGTACCTCTGCTGGAACACTGCAGCTCTGACACTGGCATACACAGCAATGCAAAGGAGGAATATCCTGTGCTTAACACACAGACCAGGGAAAGGAGTGAGTGCAGCTGTGTTCCTGACACTGCTTTGGAGATATTGGATGCCTTGTCTACATGGTAAAGTCTTCTCTTTGCACATCTCTGCAGTTTTAACCCATAAAATAGCAATGTTTTTCTGCCTTAGACAGGTGGTGATGTTTAACTTATCAAAATCTGCAATGTATTAAAAATATGCATTTTGTCCTTGCCCATAGACCTAGACATAAATCTGTCCAAAAAGTGCAGCAATATCCATTCCATCTTCTACCCTGCTGAAGATTCATTCTTCCTTAAAGTATCAGGGGTTTTATGAATACTAGTTCCTTACCCAGTAGAAATGCAAAGGATTAGAAATTGCATAGCTGATTTAAAAAACAAAACAGTAACATTTTGTTTGGAAAATAAACCAGAATTCATAGAAAGGAAATGTTCCTGCACCACTGAACTGTATGTTGCACTTTGACTTTTCCTGCTTTGAACTTCAATATATCTTGGCTGATCTCTTGCAGTGCTTTTTCATCTCTTTTATCTCAAGAGAGGGAATGAATAACAGACAATTGTGCTCTTCAGGGAACAGAAAGGCTCGCCCTTTCACAGAGACTTGTTCTACAGAGGGGTTTAATCTCCCCTGATGTCACTGGAAGGGTGACATGAAAAGAGATGCTCCCTGGCATGCTCAGCCAAGGGGATTGTAGAGCCCTTTATGGCTGCTGAAGCAGGAGTTCACTTACAGGATTGCTGCAAGAATTGCTATTGTACAGTACAAGCTCCTCTGCACTGTTACTCTGCACCTCGTGGTGCTGCTTTTCTGAAAAGTGGTGTGAAAATCCATCCAGTGGAGATTTACATCCACTTTGTATATATGTGAGTGATCACAGAGGGTAAAGTACAGCTGGCAATCTGACCAAGAGCTGCACAAATGTTTATAGTGCTATTAAAAAAATATCTACACCATTTAAACTCAGCTGACAGTAAAATGCTTTTGTGTAGATTTTACTTTGTTACGACCCATTGACTATGATTACTTTTTAAATATGAATATTAAATCTGATGCCTGCTCACATGCTTGTATTTTTGCAATTATATTCGGGTTTTTGGTCTTTTTTATAGAGATTGAAATTGCCAGGTCATTTATATTTGCATTTTTGCAGGGAATCAGCTTGCAGTTTCTTTGATGATACCAGCACATCTCTGGAAACATCAAAAGAGCATTACATGTGTAGTGGCAAGAGAGATCAAAGGGAGCACAAGGACTCAGAATTGCTGGCAGATGCTACTAATGGGAATAAAGTCCACAGCTTCTTTTATATTGTTTTGTGAAAAGCAATGGTTGGGTGAAGAATGACTTTGAGAAAAATTGCTCAAATTATTTTTCCCTTTCTGGAGTTATGACTGAGCTTGCACCATGTGTTTAGACATACATAAATGCCTTTCAGGTCAAAAAAAAATGTGCACTTTACAACCCGAGGGTCTTTTTCATTCTGTCCTTATTTCCTTCATTGTTTACAGTGACATGTGAGCATTTTTACTTCTTTTTTGTAATCTTTATCCATTTTTTTTTTTTTTGGTCATAAAGCCAGAGATATCACAAGGCATGCCATGCCTCTCGATTTCAGTCAGCTGTGACCACTGTTGCTGTGGCCACACTGCACCCAGTCAAGGACATTTGGATGACTCCTGAAAGTCACCTGTTGGCAGCGCTGTGAGAATGTAGTATCAGGGGATGTTGGCATCTTGATATGCGAAATCAGCAGAATGGACCCTAAATCACAGAACATGCTCTGAAGAGCCACAGTTCACACATTTTCATTTACCTTTGGTTTTATTTACACAAACTGAAGGATGGAATTTCAGCATGATCCCATAAAATCAAAGAAGTTATTCCAGAGTCTGCATGTCTCTGGAATAACTTCTTTGACATGTCTGCATGCAAGATATGCAATGGGCAAATAAGTGGGCAAATTTCTAACATAGAATTTATTCTTCCTTTTAATCATGCTGAGATCCTTGGATATTTTACTTACAGAAGTTTTATGCATGACCCTTAGTGTGGTGTTTTTAGCCATGCCTTCCTTTCAGCTCTTCTTTTAACCTAAGGGATTGACTGAAAACAGATAATTAGATGATAGTTCCTCCAGCCATCACATGTTTTCCTATTCTCTGCTTCAAGCTCTGAGGTGGGTTTAACAGAATTTTTCAGCTGTAAATCAGTAAGTGAGGAAACAGTTAAAATAACACTGCCACTACTTCAGTGTAATTCTTAGTAGCTTTGGTAACCATTAATTAAATATATAAACTCAGTTCAATTAAATAGAAGAGATTAATATGGTTTCTCTTGGAAACCAACTAAGAAAATAAATAAAGTTGCCAGACAAGCCGATTAAGTTTTTAGTGGAGATTAGCAAGCTTGGCTTTCCCAGTACTTGCTTACAGTTCTGTACCATTTAAAAATGCAATTTATTTGGGTTTTTTCTTTTGTAAAATGATTACAGCCTAGTTATAGGAAACACAAAGACTTAGTGCCCATCCCAGTAAGGTATTGGTAGAGATGAAAATTCCTTCTATCCTATTCCATTTTCACTACCAGCCTACTTATTTTGCCAAGCACAGAGGAGTAATAAAAAATTACATAATTGCTCAAAGAAATTAGAAAAAAAGTACATTTTTGGACTGAGAAAATGTTTTGGATAACCCTTGGATCTTACATCTGGACTGCTCTAAAATAAAAAATAATTGATTCTTCTTTAATTAGAAGTTGTTCTTCTCCTCAGACAACTGCTGAATCTGATACAGAGCCCATGCAAACATTAGCAGAAGCTAATGAGTAAAAAATTAAAAATATGTCGGAGTCACTAGGTCACTTGCTCTGCTCTCTGTGGAATATTAACCTTGAGGTATAATGTAGTTAAACGTGACTGAACAGCAAGTCAGTTAATTCAGAGCTAAATTTCACCCTACCACTGAAGACATTTTCCCCAATACCCAATATAAACTTGCCCTGGCTTTGTTGAATTATAATCATTTAATGTTACACTATTCCGAAACAGGAGTCAGAGCAAGATCTGGCAGCTAATTTAAATCCAAGCTTCTGAGTAACTTTGGCTATAATTCTTGCACAAGTAAAGGAAATAGTACATATGAATCTATCTTAACTTCCTCTCTGGACTGTGTTATGCCTGTTGTTACTATAAGCTGTACTGCAAAAAAAAGAGATGAACATCGAATTGTGGCTTTTTTGGAGGTAATGTAAAAATGACATCTATAAAGATGAATTTAAATACAAACTTTTGATTAATTCCATTGAACCCATATCCCTGTATAATTTCACTAGCCTTTACCACCTTGTTCACAAAACTGATTGAAAACAATGAAATGTAAAACATGCTCTTTGATTTGCACAAGGATCTGTGAGAATTGCTTGTGAGACCTCTTGAAAACTGCTTTATTTAGAGGTCATCCAGCCAGGATGGTATTAATAATATATAAAATTATATTTTAGGAGACTCAAGTAGCATTTGTGAACAGTGAATTTTCTAAACCATAGCCATTTGTGAGCTGTGACTCCATATGGCTTGATAAGTTCATATGGAGTATCTGGTGCATAATGAAGAACAGATAAATTTACAGCTGGAGTAAATCAGTGCAGACCTACTAACTGCCATATAGCAGCACGTTAAGGCAAGTACAGGACTTGGCTTCACATTTGAGAAAGGGAAAGAAAAGGAGAAACCTTTTCTTGAGGATAGATTCTGTAATTATCACCAGCAGACATCCGCAGGTCTCTAAGTACAGAAACTAATGCTAAGTATAAGAAACTGAGCATAAGGAGAAATCCATCCATCAAATTTGAGAGCCATAAATAAAGATATTTCTAAAGAAATGGACCAGAATACTTCCATTCACTGGCTGTGTTTTCCTGTTAGAATATTCAGCAGATCGCACTTTTCTCTATCATATCCCGGCTCCCCATGACTGCTCACCATGATGCTCTCATGCCTTTTGCAACCAGAACCTTGGACAGCAGCAAATTTGTTTGATTAGCTCCATTCACCCATTGCCTCCAACCCCACAGGCCTGTGGTCTTCTTCCAAAGGTCTGTAGAAGTTACCTGAGCAAATAAAATCAGCTAACAAATGTGTTTGCGCATTGCTTAAAAAAACCCCAACAAACTGAAAAAACAACAAAAAACTCTAACCCAAGTTTTCAGAGCATTTTCCGAAATAACTACAAGGCAGTTTTATAGCAAATATGAATGCTCTCATCTGGTCCTGAAAACTAACAGTTCCTGTCTTTGTCCAGGACTGAAGAGAAAAAGATGTTGACATAACAGGCCAACAAGTCTAATCTGAGGAGTCATGATTGAATTTCCATGATTATGCAAGTCTAATCTGAGGAGTCATGATTGAATGCTTGGTAAATATTTGATTATGAAATCAAATTAATTTGCAAATGCACTTGAAGCCATTAAGCCATTATTTTGCTGATAAAGGGGCTTATCCCAATACTTTTCCTTGGATTATGTGTGAAAACTTCCATTAGCATCATCTTCTGACCCTCTCCTTTCAGAAGGTAGCCAAGATTTCACACCTAAACAGCTGCACCTTTGGAGGTTCTTTTTTGTTTTGTTTTGTTTTGTTTTAAACCCAGGCACTCACAGTCTGAGGAATCCTATGGGTGAGTTCCCAGGGCTCCCCACAGTACCTGGTGGGGCAGTGACACTCATCCTGTGCTTGTCCCTGCAGGAAGCCTCATGTGCCTACGTGCTCATCGTGACAGCTGTGTACTGGGTCTCTGAAGCAGTGCCTCTTGGAGCAGCAGCCTTGGTTCCTGCTTTCCTGTACCCTCTCTTTGGGGTCATGAAGTCCAGCGAGGTCAGACCGTTGTGTGTTTTTATCATTTAATGTTCTTGGTCTCAGATAATTATCTGAACGAGGCTGATCTTTGTGCAGCAGCAAAGACTTGGAGGTATGGGAGGCAGAAGTGTACATCCTGTAATGTGTAACTGGCTCCCACCAGCCCCTTCTTCATCTGAAAATAGATACAGGATATAAGATAGGCTACAATAGCCAGGAGAGGTGTTCATCCTTTCAGCTCCTGCATCACCAACAATTACCTATTGCACCAAAGGATCCCAACTCTGCCCTCCTCAAATCCATGGGAACAGCACCCATAGGATACACTGTCAAGTTTCCTTCCAATTTTATTTATTGTGGATGCCATATAAGGCAAGAGGCTACATATGCTAAAACAAATTACCATTTACTGGAAAAAACTAGATAATTTTGTTATCCAGGTGAATGTCTAGCCTTTTTTCAAAGCTGTAACCTTCTGCTGCACTGTAACCATAAGTTCTCAGGAAACGGAGTAATTGTACAGAAAAGTCTCTATGATCAATTCTGAATTTGCTTACTTGAGGTTTTTTAGAATGTTAATTTGTTTCAATATATGCCCAGAATTTCTTTTATTGTCTCTGCTACTTTATCCCCCTGCCTTTTCCTATCTCTTTTTGGGGGGTGAAGGGACAGCACATTTGATTTAAGGATGAGTAATGCGGATAAGAATGCAGAGGAATATGTAGCAAACAAAAAATTGTTGGATTTCTCTCACAGTCTAGCACTGAGAATACCCATAAATGGATAGAAACAAGCATGAGCTGAGAGTTTAATGACTGCTTATTCCCCCAAGTTTTGCAATAAAATGAGATACATTTTCATACCAACACAATTCAGTATTTTCACAATCTTTTTTTCCTAATATAAAGGTAAAGTAGTTGGGCATTTTCATTAAAAATTTGGCACCACATTGGAGAAGGAAATTTAATGTCAGCCTGAGAGAAATTCAACCAATAGCAAATAAAGTGACAGTAAGACTACTGCAAAGAATGTATTATTTGCTTTAGGAACAGAAATAAATCCCTGCATTCAAAAATAAACAACTCTGAAGCATTATTTCCAATCTTCTGTTCTGGATTGACTCTTGCCTAGCAAATTACTACTATTTAAGCTATTTAAGCTACAAATTACGCACAGGGGCTTAAGAGTATGAACCAGTGTGTCATATATATGTTTGTTGGTATTAATGAGACTATTAGCATTCACTTATTTCTCCAAAATGGCTTTGAAAGGAATAAAGGAGAAAAAACCCCAGATTCTTCATGCTGCTGCTTTGATTGATTTCCTTCATTCACCTCATTATTTTTTGAAAAGGTAGCAGGAAAATAAAGAAAGTTAATGAGAAAGAAACCAGTGGAAGAAAGCCAAAAAGGTGATATTTAAAAGTTCTGGCACACAATTATGATGGCCAAGTCTATTTAGTCACCATAGGGATTTATTAAATAAATGTCATTAAATATATAACTTGTTGCAAATTTCACGAAATAACATTATTGTCATTCTTGCATTTTATGGAGGAGCATCAGTATAACTGAGGACAATGGAAAAATTATTCTTTCCTCTGATCTTAATTGTTTTAAAATGCTGGCACCTACATTTAATTAGAGAACTAGTTTTCAACTGAAGAAATGACATTTTTTTAAAAAATATTCCAACAACAGCCTAGGAAGGATTGCATCAAAATGAAATGAAAAATTTTGCTAGACCCCAAGCATCTCTTTGTAACTGTTATTTTCTCCCTCCCATTTTGTTTTTTTTACAGAATTATGTGTGTATGTTTGAGTAAGAATTTTATGGTTTGCTTAATCCGTCATTTTTGCAGTTGCTTCACAAAATATCTTCTCATATTTTAGCAAGACCCACAACCACAATTCCTGCTTTGGAGGTGGTGTCTGAATATTTTCCTGAGTCAGTGATGGTTTGTGTTCATTGTCTTTCAATTAAAGTTCTCATTCTTGAAACTTTTCCCTCTTTTCCTGATAAAATGGAAGTGGATTTCCAAGGTGACAAGTTTTGACACAGGATTTGTGGATCACTGCAGCAATATACCAGCCCCTTTTTATTGCATTCAAAGAGCAAGTCCCAAAGGACTTTTATTGTGATGCAGGAAGTTCTAGGGATGCCACATTTTTCCCAAAAGACAGAATAAATATAGGCAAGATAGACAATAAAACCTCCAGGATGAAAAAGCAGATGAAGCACATGAATAAGCTGCCTTCAGTGCACTTTTGTCTGTGCTTGTTTCCATCTGAGCCTAGCTGAGTATGACTGACTGCAGGCACTGAGCATCCTGCTCGCAAATAAAACAATTCTCTTGATCTCTTCAAAACTCAGAAGCCTATAAACAGTAGGAGATAGAGCCTTATTTGTAAACACAACAAGACAGAGATTAAAGAGAATATTTTGATTTATGAATTCTTTGTTTTCTCCAGCTCCCTGTCACTCTTACTTGAGGGAGAAAAAATGCACTATGTGATATTTCTTCTCATTCAGCATGCTTTCTGTGCAGGGTATTTACTGCTTTTTTAACTGGCTGCTTCTCCCTGGCCCTTAATGCAGGTGGCTGCTGAATATTTCAAGAACACAACTTTGCTCCTCATGGGTGTGATTTGTGTGGCAGCTTCTGTAGAAAAGTGGAATCTCCACAAGCGAATTGCCCTGCGCATGGTGATGATGGCTGGAGCCAAGCCAGGCATGTGAGTGAACCTTTGGCTTCGGGGTAGTCTGAGGCTGAGAGCAGCAGCTTGAAACCACTCCGATCTTCCCATCCATGGGCAAAATCTGCCTTGGTTTGGGACATTTTTCATACCCATCTTTCCTTTCAGAGTCTGACTGCTTACAAATATTCCTCTCCTTTTCTGTCACATCTGACTCCCCGTGTTTCCCCATGCTGCACTCCAGGTTGCTCCTTTGCTTTATGTGCTGCACCACGGTGCTCTCCATGTGGCTCTCCAACACCTCCACCACAGCCATGGTGATGCCAATCGTGGAGGCAGTGCTCCAGGAGCTGGTGAATGCTGAGGAGGAGTGCGAGGTCATCACGGCTGCAGGCAGCACCATTGCTGAAGAAAACAAGCCAATAGGTATTTGTCAGTATTGGCATTCACTCTTTTCTCATTTGTTTGTCAGTGACCAGACTTGTTGATACATATTATTGAAACTCTATCAAAGTCAGATCTGATTTACACTGCCAAAACCACTGATATGTACTCTTCCTTTTTGTACTCTGATATTCCCTTCAAAAAATTAAAGGAAATTTTAGAAGAGATGGAAGAATAGGAGTTGGGAAACTATTTATACTGAATCAGGGCATCTGCTGTAGCTGTGTGTCATAAACTCTTGGTCATAGGATTTTACAGGGTTGGAAGGAAACCTTTGGGAATAAAGTCCAGGAAATTTAGAAGAGGCTTAGAGGTTTTCTCTTGACAATCCCATAATAAAAAATTGATAAGAGCTCTAAGGTTTATTTTGTTCATTCCTTCCCAGAAGAAGAAGGCTTAGGAAGAAAAGAATCTCTCTTTTGTCTAACTTTACAGTTTCCAGGCTGAAAATTATTTCATCCAACCTTGTCTATTACATGTATGTATCATAGTCTTTTAATTGCCAGATGCACATGATCAGTGCAATGCAAAATAATAAAATCCCACATCAAGGGAACACCTGAGAGTGTTTGGACAAGCTTTTGTTTGCAGCAGCTCCTCCAGGTGCAGTGGTGTGAGCCAGGGGCTCAGCTCAGTTCTTACCCCACGGGCTGCTCTCTGTTCCTCTGTTGCAGGTCTCGGTGAAAAGCACGGCCAAGCTTCACTGGAGCTTATCTTCATCAATGAGGAGTAAGAATGAACCCTGTACACCAGGACTGGACATTTGAGCCCTACACAGGTTGCAATGAGATGAACCCAGGAGCAGGGCCAGGAAGGGCAAGCAAAACCTTACAAGTGAATGTGTCACATGTGACTGACAAGGAAGGCTTACATGATTAATGCAATGAATGCAATGGTCTGGATCTCACTAAAACTTTGCAGTATTCATTTATTTCTTAAAACTATGGATATTTTAGGGAGAAGGAAAATATTTCAAGGGGTTTGAAAGCTCTTTTGAAATCTGAGTTTGTGCTGTATAAGAAAGTGCTGTCCACAGGTTTTATCCTGTTCCCCTGAAGGAACGGTGATGCAGAGGATCCAATTACAGCATGGGCTGTACAGGACATATCCAGAGGGACGTCACTTACAGAGCATTTCTGAAGAAAGTCTGAACTGCCTGCATTCAAGAGAGATGAGAGTGGAGGGCAGGGCGACATGGGGGGAGGGAGAACCCACAAAAAACCACACCTCCTCCCTTACAAAATTTGTAGAAGATTTCTTTAAATATAGACTAATTTCTTCAGAGATTTGAAACACCAGTAGTTTCTATTTGGGGAAGAATCTAGAGGGGAAAAGATAAATCAAGTAAAGGAATAATTTCTTTGTCAAATTATCTATTCAAGACATCAAGGCATCAAGTCAAGACATACAAGACAGTATACAAATCTAATATTCCAAAAATGTATTATAGGCCAATACTGAGGAGCATCTTATGAACTGCAGGAACGAAATTGCACAGTCCCTTTTTGAGCTCCTTCTGTATTGTTTGAAACTGCTCAAAATAAAAGAGAAACAAGTTTATTTAAGTTTATTATACACAGTTTTATTATAAACAGGTTGATGACTTTAAATTAACTGGCAAGATTTAAACAGTTTTCTTATTAATCTAGAGACTATTTGGTTTCTCCAGTATTCCCTCTGTTATCTCTTTTTATCCCAGCCATATTTTCTATGCAATATAGAATCAAATCTTCAGGTTGGCATTGTGCCATTAATCCCTTTAACCCTTATTGAAGAGTATATGTGGGATTTTTCAAACAGAACTATTATTAAAATAGGATTACTTGAAAAAGAGCTTTGAATTCAGAAGGAAAAGTAGTACATCTTCTGGAAATGAGTTCAGTGGATTGTTTGCATGATCCACATGCCACACAGGGCAGTTTTTATGGAAGGCTTTGATGTGGTACACGTAGGTAGTCAGAAATGGCATTGGAAAAGTTAGCAGAGGAAGAACTTGACTAGAACAGACAGCAAAGGTGCTGGATTGCCTGGTGATTCACTCCACAGAGAATGAAGTCTTGTCCTAGAATGCATTAAATACTACCAAGAAAATAATTTTTTCTTGCATGGAGGTAGAACTCCACTTACACAGATAGAGATTGAGCTATGAAATTAATAATTACTTATTTTTGGCCAAGAGCCCACATAAGAGGTTGTAGTAAGTGGTATTCAGCATTTCAGTAGGCACTAGTTCTCCTGCAGATGTTGCCCATCCTACCCATGATGTGTGCTTCTTGCAGAAGCTGGATGAACAGGCATTTTTAAAGCATATTTTCTTTCTTTGTTTTTAGTGCTACTACTACTGACTTCAGCTCCTTGATGCACTCAAAGGTATTGTCATAGGTGTTATGTTCTGTGCTATGCTGTCTCCTAGTGCAGGAACCAGCAGGGCAAAATGCACACAGCTCTGAAAAAAACTGCTGGTCCCTTTATTTCAAACGTGTGGTGGTTGTTGGCAGAAATTAGGTATTGCAGAATGTCCTGCTTTGTTTTTAACTTATCAGCCCTCTTGCACAAATCAATTCGGGAATATTAGCTCCATAACAGCAACAACAGAAGTACAAAACAGTAGAAGTCTGTTGTACTCCTTGCTGGAGATACTGAGATCCAGTCAGAGAACTAACAATTCCATATGGTTTCCAGCAAATTCAGATATGATCTTTTGTTGTTCCAGTATTGCCAACTTCTGAGGCTGAGAATTCTCAAGTTGCTGCAGCAGCCTGTACATATCACAAAATCAGTCCCAGGCTCAAGGGACCTGTTAGAGTCTCCAACATGATAGAGGAAGACCTAATCTTATTATAATTTGACTTTAAAATCACTTTTAAATAAAAAAAAAAAGCAGGGGGTTTAAATTTTTTTTTCCCAATATAAAATTGACAGCTGATATTAGTGGGTTGGATTTTCTTGTAATTTTGGAGCCTTTTTTCTTTTTCCTGTAAAGGTACTGCCAGCCAGTACCTTTACAAAGCATCACAAATTCACAAGTGCCCCTAGGAACACAAGAAAGGCTAATCCAAAGGCATTTTCCTCCTTGCAGAGTATGAATGGTGTGCACATGATAGCCAACCCTATTGGAACAATGAATTCTACAAGCAATGGGCAGCACCTACCTCAGGTAAGGAAATGTTAGACCTGGGGGTGAGGCAAAAGACAGATGTGAATATCACCTGCACCCTAGTGTTTCATATTTGTTCCTTGAAAGGAATCATTCTCCATTGCCTCAGCACAGCCACAGCTTGGCCCTTTGCCAGTTCTTGTTCCCATTTAGATGCACCCAGCACAGGTGTGTTCAGAAAACCCTTCCCCCATGGCTGGGACAATTCATTTAGCTTTATATCCAGTAATGTGATCACGAGTTTCCTTTATTATTTGACTGTAATAGCCACTTTGTTTCTGCAAATCCTCCTTGGAAAATAGCCCAACTCAAAATAACAACCCCTGGCACACAAAACCCTACTCAGAATTAAAAAAGCAGCCCATTAATCTGTTCAGCCACTTTGTTAGGTATTCTTAGTATCCACTTCCTTTTTGTCTTCCAAAATATCCAGCCTCAAAATCCTCCATTAAATCAATCCATTCCAGTATTTCTATTTCTCTTGAGGGGATCCCAGAAGAGATTGCTGTTTGGATGACAATTTTGTAGTGTCTTAATGGCATAAGTTTATGTCCATGAAAGATGAGGCTAAAATCAACACAAGAAATTGTGTTCACAGTTCAAAAATAAATGAAAAGAAAAATTAGTAAATGCAACTAATCTTTCTGAACCACTTGCTATCTTTTTCCTCATTCTTAAATTACAGGTTGCGTGAGAAGTGCCTTGAGGTACTGTACATTTTTTCCCAGTATAAGGACTTCATCTACCAACACAGACATTTTCCTGTGACTGATATGAAAGCTTCTTTTGGAGCAAAATTTTCTGGCATCTTTTCCTTCCATATTCCCATTGCACAGACTTTTCCATTCCATTTTGAGATTCCCCAGCACTCCATTCCTAATTAGAGGCCCTGAGCTAGTTTAAGTGTGAAAAGTTCACCAAGCCTTTGTGTGGTGGCTGCTCTAAGCCTCAAGGATTATGGATTCCTTCTGCTCAGTGTTGGCATCCTGACCCTGCAGCCCTCAAAGGCTTTTGGTATCCCACTGATATTCCAGTCAGACATGGAGCTGGACCAAACCTTAGCCAGAAGTCTGATTACTGCTTATCCTACATTTTTGTCACAGACCAGCCCATTTTAGGCCCTGGGACAAGTTTCCACAACTGATCCCAATTAATCCCTGTAAAGAAAAATCTGGCCTTTCTTACACAAACCTGTTGCTTCTCTGGGCCCCGTGTCACTCTGGCATTAGAGCAAGCCAAGCTGCTGTTCTGATCACCTGCTTTGCTTGTGAATATGTCCCCTCACAGGCTCAGATCCTGGTCCTGCCCCCCGAGCCCTCAGAGCTCGGGCTGAGCAGCAGGTACCGGTACCAGACCAGGCATGACCACATGGTCTGCAAATGCCTCTCGCTGAGCATCTCCTACGCTGCAACCATCGGGGGGCTGACCACCATCATAGGCACCTCCACCAGCCTCATCTTCCTCGAGCACTTCAACAAGTAAGTGGCACTGGGATTTGGTGAGAATCATTATCATCCTTGTGGGTCATTTCCCACCTCAAGGAGCCCTAGGAAGAACACTCTCCATGAAGGAAAATTTGCTTCTTCCTCTACTCTAACGTTATTACCAGTTAATGTTTGAAGGTTACTACATGTCCATGTCTTTCTCTCATGCAAAGTAAAAACTCCTCAGTGCGTGAACATTGAAGTTTCTTCAGCAACTTCTTTTGGTTTGACATGATAAATGCGATGAATTATGCAGGCACTCTAGAAAAGTAAACACTACAGCTATGAAGATAGAGCAAAGACAAAGAAATACTCACAAAAGAAATGTCATAAAAACAGCTGCTCAACATGTAGTGCAAAAAAAACCAGACAACCAACTTAGATATGTGGCCTTATGCATTTGTTTCAGGGAAGATGAGAAGCAGCTCTCTCATCACCAAAGTATTTCCTTTATCATAGGCCCAGGGCTCTCAAAGACACGAAAGTTTAAATGTCAGAAACATGAATGTTTTTCTGTCATGAGACTGGTGGCACTTCTCATGCACAGAAGCACATCCAAGCTCAGATCTGATTCTGACCATCTTCTGCTACTGCCTTGATATCTCTCATTTCTCTCTCTTAAATGGTGGTAGCACAGAAGACTTAGTTCAGAGGTCATGCCTAATCCAAGGATTTGGATTTTACAGAATTTTCCAAGATCTTGCTCTTATGACAGCTGCACCAACATCTTTGTCAGAGCAGAGCAGAATGTAGTCAATATTTGTGTGGCGCGTGAGAAAACATAGAAAGAGGTTCTGGGTGAAATAATTCTGAAGACTGCCAACCCTAAAAGGGGCTTTAATATAAACCACAAGTAGGGATGGAGTTTCACTTCAGGTATCTCCAAGTCTTTTTGAAGCTGGCCAGACAACCTAGGCCATCTGATGTTAAAGGTTTGGAGAGCTACACTGTTTGTCTGTTGGTTTCACTCTGCATAGGTAATGCAGCTGTTTGCAAATGCAAACTGATGGAATTTTTCTCTCACCCCATGACAGATAAATTTGCCCATAGGTGTGTTTGCAGCTATGTCTGTTGGTGGTCCCTGTCTCTGTACTGTTCTAACTTCTCATGAATCCTCTTTTAATTTACAGCCAGTACCCAAAAGCTGAAGTGGTGAATTTTGGAACTTGGTTTCTGTTCAGTTTCCCCATCTCCCTCATCATGTTGGTGCTGACTTGGTTCTGGCTGCACTGGCTGTTCTTGGGCTGCAAGTGAGTGAAAGTTGTTCAAGATATACAGATTACAAAAGCAGGGCATCTGCAGCTCCTCTCAAACGTGTCTCATAAAGAAGTTTTGACTGGCAAACGACAAAATTTAAGGAACAATTTCCTTCTTGCCAGAATTACCAGGGGAAATCTCACTGTTTAGCTGCCCTGCACAGACAGCAGTGTACAGTATTGCTGCTTGAGATTGAAGTGCCCAGGTATTGCTGATGGAAATCCATACTAAGCATTCAGCTGGTTTGGGGTTTTTTTCACTCTTATGACAATGAAGATTCCCTCGTGGACAAAATATCTTGTTATAAGTCCTTTTGGAAAAGCACAGTTTAAAAGATTAATAGAAAAAAACCTGCAAGTAAACAAGTTACTTTTCAGATCTGCCTCCAGTTCAATTAAATTAACATAAAACCAATTAAAACTAAAGGTAAATAGACTCCATATATATTTCTCTTTAAAGTGGAAGGGACTCACAGCCTAAGAAACAAATACATTTAATACCAGTCCCTAAGCCCCAAAATAAGAAAAAGTTTCAGTCTTCAAGTTCATTTGTACCACATATTGTCTTTACAAAGTTAATGAAAACTGCCAAATGTGTGCCTTTAGAATGGCTTTGTTAATCTGCATTGAATTGTGATGCAGACACATTTACTCTGAATTAAATTTGCTTAATTTGATTTAGTTCACTCTTAAAAATAAACAGAATTGACATCACTACTTCACCCAGGACAATGAATAAATTGATAATGAGTTCTGCTTGCTGCTGACCTTGACTAGATTTGAAGAAGTAATTTAAAGGTGAATGGCTCCAAGCCCCTCTCAGTCAGTTTCTGAGTCTTATAGTTCCAAATTAAAAGGCTAATATAAATTCCCTCTGCCACATTATTTTAATCTTGAGAAGAAACAGGTCCTAACATGACCCTCAATTAATTTGGTTTGGAAAAAAAAATTGAAATTCCACATCGAATCCAAGACTTCATGCTGATTAATGTTGTTCTAAATAATACCAGAGACTAAAGCATTATTGACTTTTTGAGAAGTACTAGTTGATTCCAAGGTTCCTTAATCTCTGACTTCTATTCACTGCACTTCATTAAAGAACATATTATGCTGGGAACTGGGCTTCAATTCTCTGCCTTCACATCCTCCTGAGCCTGGAAACACTTGGAATATGTTGAAACAGCTGCCTAATGCTTATGCATAAATGTTTCATGAATTCCTGTAATGTTATTTTCCTAGGAAGCCCTCTGCCATCAATCTGTTATTGCTTGGTTTAGCTGGAACAGCATTTCAGACTTTAAGGCCCTAGACCAGGTCAAGGGTGAAAGAGAATGGACTCATCAAAGGATCATTGCCAGCAAAGAAGAGCTAAGGGTGGAAGTTACTACAGAACTGCCCCTAATAAACCATATAGCTCTTCTCTTCCAGCCTGGAGGGCTCTTCCAGCCTCCTCTCTCCCTGCTGGTAGATTTTACTAAAGTCTAACAGCAAGATTTGCAAGGAAATTTAAAATACATATAAATGAAGAGCAATGCTAAGTGAGCTAAAAAAAAAGTGTTATATATTTGTCCATGTAAAATGTAACCCCTGATTAAGTCCTTCTGTTGGCCAGGCAGGGCCTGTCTGGATCTTGAGCAATGCAAACTCCTTTGTGAATCTGACCTTAAGCAGATACATTGAGGGAGATTGCAGTCCATGGTTTGGCCAGTGCCACAGCTTGGGTGCCTAGTGAGGTACCCAATGAGATACTGAAATAGCAGGAACCATAAAGCACCCATTATCACCTTAAATAACTATAAAAGTTGTGCTGCCATGGTGCCTGAGTCACTGCTGCTGCATCTTTATAGACTGGCTTAGATCCTGTTACACCTCTGTGTGACAGAGGGTACGGCTGGAGTGAAAAAGGAGGAATCTGTGGCTCAAAACACAGCTAGGTAACACTTCTGGAAAGAAGAACAGGAGAGGGTTAAAGTGAGCTTGAAAGCATCTTAATTTCAATTAAGAATGTCCATGCTTTCTTACAGAATGAAGGAAAACTGAATAAACTATGGGATTCACTTAACATCCGTACAAGTGTACAGGAGGCTCAATATATCCAGCTAGGAAACATGTTTTCACGTCCCTGGCAGAAGCACAGGCATTTTTCACCTGGACAAAACACCAGGCTGACTCCCCTGGCCACTGTGGTGCTTTTCTGGCTGGGCCTGATTTATAAAGAAATGTTATTGTGACAGTAGAAGCAGAGAGATCATGGCAGCTAATGGGATCCCAAGCACAGCTTTCCCTCATTATGGATCCTGACTATTCAAGGCAAATATGGTCTCAAAAGCCAGAGCAGACCCCAAATATGTTGGATAACCCTGATCCAGGAAAGCATAATTAGCCCATGAAGCATTTCTATTGATAGCTGACCTCTGTCACAATCTCTCCACGTGATGATAGACACTAGCTGTAGCTTTGGGAGGTTTCTGGCAGCTCTTTGAGGGAGCCTACGCAGAGGGAGCCCAGCCATGGCTCAAGATGGCTCAGTGATACCAATCAGTACTAGTCAGAGCACCCTGGGGACCTTCCAACTATGTCTAGAAATGAATCTTACAAGAACTTGAAACCAGATTAATGAAATAGCAAGAGCAATAATTTCCTTTCCCGTTGCCATCAGGCCTTGTTTCAGTCACATCTTCTCCCAACAGTCCCTGATACCAGAATTTTCAGTCTACCCCATTGCTGGGGCTTTTCCAATTACTTTTTTCCCCCCTCATTATGCCCTTGCCTAATTTTATTGTGCTATCTCAGTTTTAAAGAGACTTGTTCTGTGAGCAAGAAGAAGAAGACCAAACGGGAAGAAATGTCAGAGAGAAGAATTCAAGAGGAATACAAGAAACTGGGAAATGTTAGGTAAACCAGACCTGCCTTCCTTGGGAATTTGTCTCTCATTGTCTCCTACAGCGTTCCTTGTTGCCTTGGGCTCATGTAGCGCATTCTAAAGCTCTCAGCTCTTTTTCCTCCTCTCCAGTATAGAAATAGAACAAAATGCAAAAATGAACTAAAATCAAAGACTTTGTTACAAGCATGTGTGCTAACATGCAATTCATTTTTTTTTCTGAGGAAAAAGGGAAAAGAAATAAAAGATTCGAGTTTATTCCAGGGTTCAAAGGTCATCTAAGTCCAGGTTTGTCTTTGAACCCTAAAGGACCCCTTCTCCTAATGCAGGCACGTACTTATTTTAGTGGATATACATTCAAAAAAAGGCTTTTTCCCGGCCATGTGTTGTTCAGCTTTCCCAGTTGCCCATACTATTTATGCACGATGACAAGAAATGTCTCTTGAAAAGATTATTTGGCAACATTTTCATTTTCAAAAGGGCTGATATGGCACAGAATTCCTTCTTCACAAAACATTTTTGTGCTGTTTGACTGAAATATTGACAGATCAACTGCGTGAATACAATAAAACTGTGAAACTAAACTGTTGTTCAGGCTGTGCCTAAATATGAAATCGCTCTTAATTTAAATCTATGCTAAATTAAAAATCATCAAGCCACCTCAAGTATCCTCAAGTCACCTTGTGTGCACCATCAGTGCTAATTTGTCATTTGCTCTTAGGCTTTCTATCCTTCTAAGAAATGCAAGAGAATGTGTTTACAGTGGAATGCTAATATGAACTTCACCTTGTTAACACATTTAATCAGATAATAATGCAAATATAAAACAAGCATTTAGAAATATTTTCCTTCAGGTCTTGCCCATGAATGATAGCATTGCAAATACAGATGGATATTTTTAGCCTATTTCTTACTGGATTTAGATGGTTCCCAGCTGGGAGCCAAATCTAGAATTCTTTAATTCAAACTAATCTTCCTTGCTATTTTATATGATTTTTATCCTTTTTTGAAGCCACTTTCTAGTTTCTTACTTCTTCTGGAACTTGCTCTTGAGTTTTCAGACAGACCCTGGAATTACTGCCTTGTTTCTCTGTTTTTTATTTCTAGCTATCCTGAGATGGTGACTGGATTCTTCTTCATCCTGATGACCTTGCTTTGGTTCACTCGTGAGCCTGGCTTTGTACCAGGATGGTCATCTTTTTTTGAGAAGTGAGTAAAATCCCTATAACTACTGCACAGGAATACAGCTTTGCTTCTTATGACTTTCTACAATAATTTTTTCTGCCTTAGACATCATCAGACACATTTAACAAGGCATTAAAAATGGAGTCTTTATTCAAAAATTAGGATTTTTTTTCTTAAATTATATTTTTTCGTATAGTGAAAAATTCCATTATTTCTCAGTATTCAAAGTGAATTAAGTAGAGAAAATAAACCATTTCAAATGTAAAAGGAGGGTCAGATTGTGAGCTTAAAACATTTTAGTACATTCATAAACAAGTTTTCACTAGAATATATTGCAGTGATAATTGAAATTAAAATTTTTGACAAAAAAGTGTTTTATCAAGAAAATGTCCATTCAATTAAATATTGCTGAGAATGGTGACTAAAGCAAATATTTTTTCTTTTATTTTAAATAATATTGAAACAAATTATATTAAAGCTTTATATTAAAGCTTACTATAACACACTTTGCACATCAAAGAATAAGTGATTTGAATGTAACTTTTCTTTATACTGCCACTGTATAAAATTACTTTAATTTTTCATTCAAATTTTGACAGAAAACCAATTTCTAATACTGTGATTTTCTGATGATCACTGGAGTTTGGTACTCTTCAGAATACTTTTACAGGAAGAGTTTTAAACATTTAATTTAAAATCAATCTACAGTTCATTTCTAAAGGATCACCTGGGTTTGACTTTTCCCCAGAATGTGTTTACTGTTTCTCACACTACAGTAAACACTATTTTTTTTGTACCTCCAAGTTAATAGATTTGTAAACCAAAAGGGATTATTTTCTTCAATCAGAATATTAAAAATTGTTGAGCTGTGATTGAAGTTGCCTACCAGAATCACTTTAATAAATGGGAAAAAATCCAATTTGTACCCTTGATACACAGGCATATTTTTCTAGTAGGTTGTTGGTATGACTTCAGATGAGGTACAACTGTACCTGCAGAAATGTGCTTGGGGCTATGTACCTGGTTTGGAAATGTTTCTGTTAACGTCTTTTTATGAAAACATTGTTATTTATTTCCTAGGAAAGGTTACCGGACTGACGCCACTGTCTCTGTATTTCTTGGGTTTCTCCTTTTCCTGATTCCAGCAAAAAAGCCATGTTTTGGAAAAAGGAGAAAAGCTGAGGAGAATGCAGTAAGAAAGAGAACTGGTATAAGAATAAGTGTCTAGTTGTTTGTTTTTTTCTTTTTTTGTTTTTTGGGGTTTTTTTTGGGGGGGGGTGTGTCTGTAAAAATTCCAAGATACTTTTATGTTGGGAAGTCAAGGTTCATCTTCTCCTCTGATACCAGCCCATCCTGCATCAGATCCCTGTTTCCTTTGCCATAATTCATATTGTCTCATCCAGAGGATGACAAACAGGTCTTGAATCTGAGACTGCCACCTCTTCTGTGTTACCAGAGTAATTAGACTTTAGGACTGAGGACTGAGCTTTAAGAAATGTTTAGATGGAGTTCCATATTAAAAAACTATAATGCAAAATCAGCTCAAGATAAACCCCAGTAAAAAAATTAGTCCTCACTTATACAGTGGAAATCACTGTAATATCTTAAGATAAACATTAAAGAGGTTATAGAGTGCCGGACAATGTTCCAATTTTGTGCAATGCTTCTCTCACAGTCTTCTTGATAATGAGATTGTTTCACATTTGTGTTTAGGTAGCACTCAGTGGTTTGATCAGTTTGCTGCACCAGTCTTTCAGCAGTGCTATACAATTGTGTGCACAGTCCTATATAAAGATTATAAATACATAGAAAGATATATTTTTATGCTGTCATATTTTGTACAGGTTTTAGGAAAATATGACACTCTCTAACTCCTCCTTTTAGAAAATACTCAGACACAAAAAACCCCCTAATGTCCTCACATAAAATCTAGGGGTCTAAATGCACTTCAAGCATCATGGCCTACTTCATAGCCCTTCTTTGATAATATAGTCCCATTGTAACACCACCTCTGTGGTCTACAGATATATGCACATGCATATCACAACACAGCACACAGTCCCTCAAAAAGCTGTAACATGAGAACACAGGGGTTTACAACTATTTACATTAACAGAGCAGCCAAGGGAAAGTCAGGATATTTGGAATTAATACACTGCATTTTGTGAGGTCAGGCTATCTAGAGTTGTCCCATGCATCTTCAATCATTTCTGTTCCTGTCAAAAATGTGAAAGTCTTTGCAAAAAGGGCAGTAAATACTGGTCACACACTTTATTTCATATAGGAGATGGTGAAAAGTCAACAGAAATCAACACACTGGAGCCCATCATTACCTGGAAGGACTTTCAGAAGACCATGCCCTGGGAGATTGTAGTGCTGGTTGGAGGAGGTTATGCCTTAGCAGCTGGATGTAAGGTACTGGTGTAGATTTTTTATCCTCCTTCCTAAACATATTATCAACCTTTTATTCCTTTGTATGCTCCCCAGTTTGGATTTATGATGTGGATACTTTAAATTTTGTACATAATGCAGTAGGCAGCACTTCCTGCACTCCATATATGTCTTTCTTGATATTTATTAAAAACTGCAGTGAAATCTAGTTTATTGAGCAAAAGGAAATGCAGAAAGCATTGACCTGAACTTTGTTTATTTGCTGGTGGGATTCTCTGATGTAAACTGCCACAGAAAGAAGAATCTGTTCGACAAACATACCAAATATTTAGTAATTCTTGTGCTTCTGTCCTTTCCCCAGACCTCTGGCCTCTCTACGTGGATTGGACGTCAAATGCTCTCCCTGAGTAGCCTTCCCTCCTGGGCTGTTACTCTGCTGGCTTGCATTTTGGTGTCCATGGTAACAGAATTTGTTAGTAATCCACCAACCATAACCATCTTTCTGCCTATTTTATGCAGTATGGTGAGTTAAAATAGTGGCATTTTCAGTCCGTTGTTTCCTCATAGGCTTGTGGGAATTTTCAGGATGTCAGGGTCTTGGCACTCTGTCCACATGAAACCCAGCCTCAGTTCCCAAGCTACTGTTCTGTAGTCTTGAAACTAGGAACAAAAACATAATTGAGCAGCCAAAGGCATATTTGAGCATCATGGAATTTATAATACATCTCAGGCAAAGTGCACTGAGGAATTCATATGCCAGGTACAAGAAAAGGTGATTATGGAATTAATAAGTTATGTTAATTCACGTGAATTTCACGTGAAGCTTGAGATGCTTCTGTCAATGTTACTTTAAATGTGTTGTTCATTACTTGGTAGTCATCTGCTCCATACTTGTGAGAAAAGACTGGAGTGCTGAATTTTATTTCAGATTTAGAAGTGTTCAAGGGGTTGATCTGGTAAAGCATACTGTCTTCCACCATGGAAAGCAGAGGTGTTTGTAAGGGGCAGAAAAAATCAGGATGCTCTTGACAAAGGTAGAAGAAAGAGAGAGTAATTTAATTTTATATTGGAATAGCAGCTACAGAAAATTTCTTTTTTTTTTAGTGTCATGTGAAACTTTTCTGTCCAAGAATGGAGGTCGTTAATCATCTTTCCCTATTATAACTATTTTATGGGATTGTCCCAAAGCATATTATGTGCACAGTTCTGAGTTAATATTAAGATGTGGTCAGATCACAATATGTAATTGTGTTTCTGTGGCTTAGAAGTTCAGATTTGCTTCTGCTCCATGCAGAAAGACATTCTCCTGAAAAATATTTAGAGCAGTAATCTACTTATAATGTGAACTGCCACCTTAAGACAGACTCCCTTTTCAGATTGCAAAAGTAACCTGGAGACACTTCCCTCCCCAAAATGATAGTAGCCTTGTTTATCCTTCCCTTTCCCTCTCATATAAAACTGGGCCAAAGCAATGCAAATGAAAATGGAAAATTTTATCACCACTGAAAACTGCATTCTTTAGCCCACTGTAAAATATATTCCATCATCTCTGCCTTCTCACCATGCAAATTTGGATCATGAAGAGCTGGTTCTCTTAACTGGTATTCAGGAGAACATCACATAATGGTCTCAGCATATTCAGCAACTGGAAGAAGCAAGTGCTTTGTGTTAACCTGTTGTGACTTCTCGTGGATGAAGACTGAAACAGCAGTCAGTGTTAAGGTCCACAAGACAAAACAGAATGACACAGAGAACAAGTGGGAGAAAGAGCAAAAGTGTCCTAATAGTAGCAAACTCCACCCTTCCTCAGTGTGAAATGCCTCAAGAGAGATCCCTGGAACATGACCAGCCCAAAATTATGGCATTGCTCTAAAAAACCAACCAACCACAAAATACTTTCACACTTAAGTTTAGAAATTACAGCAGAGAGGGTCCTTTCATAGTCATTGCCAGCAGCGACTTTTATTGATCAGGTGAAACACTTCTCTCCCTCTGTTCTTCCAGTCAGAAACCCTGCTTATCAACCCTTTGTACACCCTGATTCCTGTCACCATGTGCATCTCCTTTGCGGTGATGCTGCCCGTGGGTAACCCTCCAAATGCCATTGTCTTCAGTTATGGGCACTGCCAGATCAAAGATATGGTGAGTCTTGGCACTGGGTACATCCTCCCATGCTTCATCAACTCCAACACCTAATCCCACATCAAGATGCTGCTGCTAATAATAATAATAAATAGTAATAATAATAATAATAGCAGCATTGGTGAAATAATTACTATATTGCTGCAAATATTAAGTAGTGATGTCTGAACTGCTCTTACACAATAGAGCTGTCTGATTAAGAACAACCACAGATCTGCTGTAGGATGCACACACTTCTTATTTGTATTTTTTATTTTAATGTAATGATCTAAAGAGCTTTAGGAGTACACAATCCTGTTAGCTCTGACCTACTAAGACAAGCACAAGAAAGAATAAGAAATTAGATCTATCACATAGCTCCACAGCAAGTCATGTATCACTCTGTTATGTGTGGTTTAACTCCCCATTCTGATTATCTGATTGAGAAATCCTATCTGATTGAGAAGTACAAGTGACAAACTAAGCAGTTCACAATAAACTAACATTCACAACTAACTAACAGTCTCTAACCTGAATGTTAATTCCTGAATACTCCAACATATACCCTGACACATATGCTCTCATTTATGCTTTTTTTTTTCCTCTAGAAATCACTATACATAATTATCACACTCTATATGAGTCAGTATAAATATTACTGGTTTGGGGTTTTTTATCCCTATGTTAACTGTTTTCATTAAGTTGCTCTGATGCATTTTGCTTTTGCAGGTGAAAGCTGGCCTGGGTGTAAATCTGATTGGCCTGGCTGTTGTCATGGTGGCCATCAACACGTGGGGAATTAGGCTCTTCCAGCTGAACACCTTTCCAGAATGGGCAGCAGTCAGCAACATCACAAGCCAAATGTAATCTTCAACTAAAAAAAAAGCAAAAGTGCAAGACCAAAGCAAGCTGGGACAAAATATTGAACCTTCATTTCACATATGAAAGAAGGAAGCTTGAACCAGGATCTGCTGTAAAACTGTGAATAAAATCCACTGGGATGTCTTCTGCAACAGCTTTTCAGTTCTGAAAATCAGCGTGAGTTAAAAGGAGAGATTAGCTTTGCTCTACTGTTGCTTTCTCTGGGATACCATAACTCAGAAAAAAATCCACTCCTCCAAGTTATTTCCCTATAGCTTTTTCATGCCTTAGAGCAGTTAGGTAGGACCTGTATGCAGGACTCCAGTGGCAGAAGACAAGTACACATACACTGCTGTACTCAGCAGCAGCAGATTCAGTCCTACTAGTGACCCCTACACTGAATGTAGGGTGAGCCTTATTCCCAAACCCAGAGGAGTTTTATAAGCCTACTTTTTTGGAGGTAAATTATTCTTGGTTTTTTTTAGATGACTCATCATTGCTTTGCAAAAACCATTTTTCCACCTATCTCATATGACCTGGACAGAAATCCAGCTACCAACTACCAGCACAGTGCTTCAAAGGGATAATAGAAAGCTCCAGAGAGGAAGGAGAAATCTCCTTGGAAGGAGAATATGGGGTTTTTTTCCACAGCACTAATAAATAAATTTCCAGTATTGCAGTACTTGCAATCTCAGCTTTGGAAGGAAGAGTTTCAGAAACAGAAAGTTTTGTTCAAGACCTTCTTCATCATTACTGCAGTGGGAGTTCTTTCAGCAGGGGAAGCTGTGACCAGCAAAACCATATCAGGCCAACAACCCCTACCACTCTCCTGTCTCTTTGGCTGCTGTTTAATTATGCACTTATGATTCCCCTGCCTGAGAAAGTCTCATTCCTGATGGCACTCAGTGCTGCTCCAGTAAGAAGGGAGAGGGCTGAAGTGGAGTGGTGCTGGTGTATCTCCCCATCCTGTGCATTCACTTGAATCTCACACCCCCTGCTCTCTAGCAGCCCAGAGAGCAGGCACTTCAAATGTAGGAAACTGTGGCATAAAGTAAATAACTACCAAGCTAAAAGGCCAATCTCTTTATCTCTTATCAATAAATTCCCAGCTTTCCTCACTGGATCTCTGTGACACTCATTAAGTCTTCTCATGTATTATGTCTAGTTTTTAATAATTTCTTTAATGTCATACATTTAAGCTGTATATTAGAATGATTGAATCTCATGTAATCACACATACACTTTAATGAATTTTTATGCTTTCCACTTTTAATCTAGGCTCTCTAGATGTGAATGTATTCTGCAAAAATAAAATGTCAATAAAATAAATTATTCACTACTGCACATTCTGGTGCTCCATGAGCATACAAATTGGATATATTTCACCCATAACCCAGCAAAACCTTAGAGAAGCAGTGTTGAGACAGCAGCAGGTTTTGGTTTACTGCTTCTGTCAAAACACAGGGATCCCACAGACTCATATTGGAAATAAACAGGTACAGTAAAAGGTCTCAGGCTGGCAGAAGGGAGAAATATGGGAAAAAAACAAAAAGCATGTCTTAGCCCTTGTTCCAAAAGCAGGAAGATGTATCCTTTAGCAAAACAATTGCTATTCCTGGTAGTTCCTGTAAATTTCATTTTGAATAGCAAAGTGTTTCTGTGCATCAGTCACCTAAAGCATCCCCATGTCCCTCTATGCATAAAACAAGACCTTGGCCTCACTTTTTCCAGCTCTTCTCCCAGCTCACCTGTTGAGGTGAATGCTCTATGTGTGGAGACATGAGGCTTGACTCCATTTTCTCAGAAGGCTGATTTATTACCTCATATATTATACTAAAATACTACATAAAAACTATACTAAAAGAACAGAGAGAAAAGATGATCAGAAGGCTACAAACAAGAATAACATAGAGTGCATAACAAAAATCTTGTGACCGCTCACAGCCTCAGCACACGTGGCTGTGATTGGTCATCAAGTGAAAACAACCAACAGGACCAATGGAAGATGCACCTGTGGCATTCCACAGCAGCAGATAGTTACTGTTTACATTTCTTTCCTGGGGCTCCCAGCTTCTCAGGAGGGAAAAAATCCTACTAGAGGATTTTCCATAAAATATCATAGTGACATTCACCTGTTCCTGTGTTCCCCTCACCCTGAGCCTGCTGCTCTGCTGCACTCCAGCACACAAAGCTCAGGGCAGCCTCTGCCATGCAGAGCCTCCTCATCCTTTCTGCTCCCCTCCCTGCTCAGGGTGTTTACCTGCTCCCCAGCAGGAGGCTGCTCTGAACAGGGACCCCAAAATGGTGCTCAAAGCAAGGCACTCGAGCCTCCCCTGACAGGAGCTCCATCCTGAAGCCCCAGGAGCAGGAGAGGAAGGGCTGCAATGTCTGTTCACCAACATGGGCAACTTCCTCCAGGACAAGCACTACAGTGGGTGGGCATGTCTGCAATACCAACAGTTTTGTCCCTACACACAGCAGGCAGAACACCTCTTTGTTCACAGTGACTGAAGATACTTTTGATCATTCTCCCCCTGCCAAGACACTTTCTGGCTTGCTTTCTTCCCAAGGCTTTAGCTGCTCTGCACCTTTCGCTTGCAACTCATCTTCTAATCCTTTTCACTTCATGCTTCATCCACCAGCATCTTCCAATTGCTTTGCTGCTCAGCAACAAATCACTCTCTGCCCTCCTAATGCTGATTTCTCAGCTCTGCTCAGCTCCCACCAGACCTTGCTATCCCAGAGATTTCCCAGGGGATATGAACACAGGATATTCTCATTTGTGAGAGACCAGCAGCTGCCATTCCATCCAGCCTTAGGGAGACCTGGGATTACTCAAAAATCAAACAGGGTGCCTAGCAATGCTCTTCAGTAAGAACAGCAATAGCAGGAGGTAAATTTAATGGCTCGGTGCTCTTGCACATCTCAAACAGTATTTCTTCAGAAGCATTTCCAGGAGGCTCTGGTGTAACTCATGTCACAGGGGCATTTGGAGTGGCCTCAGGCAAGGACTTTCCCCAACAGACTGTTTCTCCTGTTTTGGTGCTTTTGGCATGCTTCCACATTCACAGCTGCTAGTCACTGCCACGTCCCACCAGGTAGATGCATGAGGCAATGGGCTGTGGTTTTTGGATGTAAAACCAATATTCATGTTAGTGAAGTTCTGTGAGGTGCATCCACCAACTTTATTTGGGTTCTGGCACCCAATAAGCCAATAATTAGCTTTGCTGTCTGGCATTTGTTTATTTTGGTTATTAACCCTTGCCTGGTTAATGGCAGAAGAGCTTTAGGGCAGCATTTTCCAGCACAGGATAATACTCTCAACCCACAGTAAATGTTTTAGAAGTCTGTCAGTAGCCCATATATTCCTTTCCTCCCATTTTGCCTTGAACCTTCAGCTCCAGAATATGTCTCAAAATACTCAATACATGAACACAACTGTTTTCAGGAAAGGAAGGAAGCCTGCATATTTTAGCTGGCAATTTTAGCTACCCACATAGGCATTTGAAATGGACATTAACAGTCCATGCTAAGTGGGAAACTTGCTCCTAGCTAACTTCATGGAGCATCCATCTTTTGTGCCCTGCTATGACACCAGTGCATGCAAAGCATTCTGAGCCACCAGATGCAAGACCTGCACCAATCACTCATCTGTGCTCACCCTCTGAAAGGTGAGGTCAAATTTTAGTATCACCTAGAACAACCTCAGGCTAGGTAAAATGTGTTATTCAGAAGTAGCAAAAGTCCTATCAGCTGTGTTATAATGTTATCCAGATTTACAGCTTACTACATGGGAGGAAAAAACCCAGCTTGAACTAAAATGGAAAGTTTTGCAGTGTGAAACACCTCAGAAATCCTGTCTTTAATACTAACGAGCACATATTGTTCCCACAGCACTACATCTGCAGCTTTTTACTTACTAATATGCTAGGGGGAAAAAAAAACAACAACAACAAAAAAGAATTCTAATATCTGCTTGGAATGCTTAGCTGAAAGAGTCAGCTCCCAAAACATTTTTAGAGTAACTGGCATGTTTGGCAACAAATACAGAGATGTTGAACATTATCTCACTTCTCATCCCCATGTAAAGAAAGGGAAGAACAATAAAGTATGTTTGAGCAAAGAAATAATCCAATTTTAAATACTAATATCATTTTACATGGCAAGCAAAGAAAAATGAATGGGTTAGAGACAGTATTTTTCAATGCTCAAGAATAGGAAACGAAGGGGAGGGAGAGGAAGTTGAGGGAACTAAGTTCATCATGTTCATGAAAACATCAAAACAGCTGTGCAGCACTATCACTCTAGGGAAACAGTTCTGGGCATGGAAGAAAATTCTTTCAGTCAGGTCTGAAATCTGAAGGAAATGGAAATCTCTCTGGATATCTTCCACATATGCTGCTACCACAGGGCTTCTGATAGCTGGGTTCAGGTGGTACAACCATTTCTCCCTGTCAGAGTTTCTTGGAGTGGTTCCTGTGGAGAAAATTGGTTGCATCACTACTAAGATTGTCTGACTTGAGCTGGCTTTAAACTTCTCAACCATTTGCAGACTGAAAGCTTTTATGTCAGCTACACATTTCAGGTCAGAGGTGAAAGGAAGGATTTAAAATTACAGGTGAAATATTCCTTGCATATATTTATATTGCTTAAGAAGAAGAGTCTTTGCATGAATAATAGTTTGTTTCAGGAATGCATTGTGGAAGAACAATGTCACCACCAAACTTTGGTAAAGGATGCAAGTGTTTAGTGCATAGTACACTGTAAATGTGTCTTTACTGATCCAATGAGAACTCCTGAACTTGGGAGTCCACTCAGATACATCAAAAATTAAAGGCTTTGGGGTAGAGTGAAAATTACCATGGGTACATAGAGAGTTCTGTACTTTAAAGCTTTGATGCTCTGTTTATAGCAAAGAGCACATTTCACTGACAAAGCAAGACAATTAGTGCTCAGAGCTTGGTTCTTTTCCTTCTGAATGCCCCTAGACCTGTCTAATGGACTAAACACCCATCAGAGATCAAAGTACATCTTCTGATTTAGTCCCTTCTGAGATGAACACAGACCACATGCTCTATGGGTTTTCCTATGATGAGAATGAAAACATAGTAAAAGGACAAACCACTTTGAAGGCACAATCCTCATCCTAATTAAAACATTAATGGAGGAGCACTCTAGGTATGCTTTAATCTAGAGCCTGAACAAATGGAGGTCATTTTCTGTGCTTCTCTGTAGCACTTCACTACCAGGCATTTTCAATAAGAGCAAGAACACCTTCCTGGCACTTTTCTGTGTTCTCCATGTCCTGCAAAAAACTGTCAAGGGGACTCTGTCATTTAAGCCATGTTACAGACTTGATAGACCTCTTCCATTTTAAGGGAAAAAAATTATTTGATAGATTCTTGAATTAATAAAACTGACATTTCCTGAAATCATTTCAACTTTATTTTTCAGAATTTACAACAGGATTTTTGCAGCATTATGGTTTCAAGCAGAAGACAAGAGTTCTACAACGGATGTGCGTTTTCTCACACACCAGGGGTTTTAATGGCTGCTTTTTTGCTTTGCTGGCGTGTGTGGCTTAAGGATAGTGAAGTACCACTGCTCACAACAAATGACAAGAAACTCTGAAAGTTACTTCTTGATGCATTTAATTTCTTTTGTGCTGTTCTAAGAGCTAGGGTATTATCAAGTGTGAGGTTACAATTGTAACAAGACCAAAAGCACTCCAGTTGGATCAGGTAAAAACAGGTTACAAAATATTAGGAAAAGAAATACTGAAAAATACAAATTATATCATCCAGTCACGCACCAGAGGCAAATCCAAATTCTGAAACCCTTGAAAAACAGTCCCGGGAAAAGTTCACAGCCGCCCTTTCAAAAGAAGGATATTCCAGTTCTAGGAGACTAAGAGTGGAGCAACCTGCCATGCCAACCCTCTACTTGACCTTTGTTGCCTGAAAGGTAAATTGCATCCTTGGTGCACACACAGAGTTGACCTGGAGAACACTGCACTTTCAGGACTTGTCATTAGGAGGTTTCTTCTTGGCTTCCACATCCTTCTTAAAATCTTCCAGCTTCTTTGCAATGTTAGGAATCTTTAAAGAAAAAACAAAACAATCAAACTCCACACAACAAAAAATCCTGGGCTATGTGCGTTTCATCAGGAAAGACAATACCTTACACACAGCAAGAAATTCCATACAGTTTAAACTGGTTTTTAAAAGATATTTCCAGTATCTGTTACCTTGCACAGAAATTAAATCTAAGCAGTATCAGGCAAACAGCAGATGAGAGCACCTCATATGAGGCTTCAGGAAATACTTAGATTATTAAGTCTGTAAGTCAGTGGTGATGGGAACAGGAAGAAGGAAAAAGGATCACCTTACAGGAAATTTAGCATGACCAGTCTGGCTTCCTGACTGAAAGAAGACAAACTGCCAAGAATAAGTAGATTTAAACAGTGATGCACAGGCTTTCGAATGGGAAATTAGATTGCACTATACTAGTCATAACCCAAGGGAAAAGAGATGTTCAAGACCATCAAATATCTTCCCAAGAAATTTACTAAGGAATATTTCTCCTGGTTCATCTTGTGGGAAACCAAATTCCTCACTGGGGAATTCTACTGCATTGCAAATTGGCACCCTATTGCAGTTTCACACTTGAATGAAAATTCAATTTACTGCTTGTGAGCTCCAAATCTTCAGCTTTCTCTTACAAATAAAATAATTTTGATAAAATAGTCCAACAGTAAATTTTGATAACTTGAAAGGGAAAAAAAGCTGAACCTCTTAATAGCAAATAAAAGATTATGACTAGCTAAAACTGGGAAGTGATAATGTAAGATTTTACAAAATAATGTATGATTCAAACAAAATTAAAGTAAATTTTCCACTCTTAGCTGTGAAAAAAAAAAAATCGTGGGTTTTTACTTCATATGTAACCTGACCACAGAGCAGAAGCTAATGCAATCAGAATGCAGTTCTCTTATTGAATGGTCTGAGGCTCACAAAACTGGTAACAAGTTCCTCTAACCTTTCTTTTAAACAGAATTAAGCTCTGTTTGAGCAAAAGAAATTAAGAGCCCAGCCTGTAACACGCCTGACATTTAAACGAAACCAAGAGAACTCCACCACTGTCAGCAGAACCCTCCATGTATTTATTACTAAGCACATTGTGTGTACAGCTGCAGAATTAGGACCTCATTATGACAAGCTTATATTAAATGTCACCTCAAAGCAATCATCTTCAGCACCAGCAGTAAAATTTCCATTTCATCCTGCAAATCAGTGTTGCATTTCCAGGGAACTACTTCCAGCAAATCAAAAGCCTGAGTCTCCCTCTTGTGGCAATACTTTATCAGTGCTGCCAGAAAAGCACTATACAATGCTTGTGATACATATTGATACATCCAAATATATTCTTATGACTGCATTTTTGTAACACTGTAAAACATGTATTGGACAGAAACACCAGCGTTTCATTAGTCCTTTTACTGGACTGACAGGAAAAATCACCCAAATCTGTACAAAACAAAAAGCAAACTATAGAATTTTTTCTAAGCAAGATGATTTCAATACTGAAGATGAGAGGAAAGCAAAACATAAATGCCACCAAAGCCTCAAAAACTCTGTTTTTCTCTTAAGGCTAATACAGACTGCCTAAGAATTTTAAAAGATTTATATGTAAAATGTTATTAACTCCTCTAGCCAGCAAGTACAGTGGCACTGCCCTTACAAGGGATTCTGCTGACTCAGTAGAAAGTAAAAGCATGTTTTGAAGGCTCAGCTTGAAATCTTTTTCCTCTGCCCTCTCACATTGAAAACTGTTAACTAAGAACTGAAAAAAAAAGTTCTCTTTCTTTTCTCACTGTAAGAAAAGAAGGAAAGAAAGACTGCAGGTCAATACATTTTTTGAAGTAGGAGAAAGTATCACATTTACAAAAAAAGCTGGCAAAACTTATTTTCATTATCAGTCCAGAAGAAAGACATTTCACATGCTTTGAGGATTTTTATTAACAGTTATACTGAGTGAGAACACTGTAAGAAGACAGGCTATCCAAGACAGGAAACCAGTATTTAGTGCTGGCAAAATCCATGAGCAATTGATAAATATTTCTATTTCTCCTATATTTTCCTGTAGAAGGCTGGGCTCTAGGACTGAACAGAAGTTTAGGCTTTAAGCACTACACTACCACAGATAATATTTTGGTTACAATTTTTTTTTCTTTTTTTGCAATTAAGGTTGGAAAAGTCCTACAAGATCAGAGTCCAACCTTTGAACAATCACCACTTTGTTAGCTACACCAGAGCATTAAGTGCCATGTCCAGTCATTCCTTGAACACCTCCAGGGATGGAGAGTCCATCACTTCCCTGTGCAGCCTGCTCCAATGGCTGACCACTCCTTCAGTGAGGTAATTCTTCCTGAAGATGTCTCAGTTCTCCTGTTACTCAAGTCAGCATGATCTGCATTCTGTTCAAATAATATAAACCATCAAAATAAAGACTGATTCAATTCTAATTAAGGGAAAATGGTCAGATATTTTCAGTTCAGGACAGGTTTATCTCTGAGAACAGCAGGATACTCACATCATAGTTCTGAGCCAGATACATCCCAACCACGTTGCCAAGAGTAAAACCAAGCTAAAAAGGAAGAAAGGGAGAAGAGTGAACACCCTTCCATCAAGAGCTTATTGGCTAAAAGAAAAAAAAGGAATATTGCAAGTTATTTAATGAGTTTCCATGCCAGATACATCCCAACCACGTTGCCAAGAGTAAAACCAAGCTAAAAAGGAAGAAAGAGAGAAAAGTTAGTACCCTTCCATCAAATGCTTATTGGCTAAAATAAAGAAAAAGGGATATTGCAAGTTATTTAATGAGTTTCCACTCCTACGTAATTTCTCATCTTTCATCCAGAGAGGTGCCATTTTCCCCATCTTCCTCACCAGAAACACCTTGCCATCATTTCCAAAACACCACACAGTTTTGTTATTCAATCCACATCCCCAAGACTATTTGGATCAAGCTGTGTTCATCCTTGTAAGGTTCTCTACACACCCACAAAGGCAGTAACTCCTAGAAAAATGGGGGAGACAGCAGCAGGGACCTACACATCACAGAGCTCTTGGTCCCTGATGGGAAAGCCTAAAACAACACCCCACTAGAAAAGTGCTCAGTGTTGGAAAGGGAGATACATGTCTTAGTATGAAGTAAAAACAAAACTCGAAAACTTCACAACATGAATTTAAACTGATGTAAACCTGCTTCTTCTCTTCTGCAGCAACAGCTGGGCATCTTCCAGCCAAAGCCTTCTGACCCCCAAAAATTAATCTCAGCCAAATCCACTCTGATCTAGGGGCTCCTCCATGGCAGTACAGTTGGCTGGAAGCTGGGCACAACCTCTTCTGACAACTGTGCAAACTTATAGTTGATGAAGGGTGTCCATAAAAATGCACTCTGGAAGCAGAACAAGAGCAAAACACAAACACAGTTTCTGGTCCAGACCCTGTCTGCCAGCTGAGGAAAATCCTCAAGCTTAAGAACACTTCCAGAGTGAAAAAAATTCCTCTCTTCAAGGTCAGGTGATGAGATTTTCATTCAGTAACTGCTCAGTATCCTACATTTTATTTCTGCTGTTACACTTCAAAATAAGTCTGCCCTATACCATGAAAGCTCATTTAACTATTTTGAAAGGGGACACTACTAACATTGTGTTTTCATTTATTGTTAGTACACAAATCGCTCTTTGTAACAGCTGAGGACAGTTCTATTTAAAAAAATTGTTGTTGCTCATGGTCACTGCTGTCAAAATAAGACTATTTTAAGAAAAATAAAACCACAGTCTACAAAACAACTTTGCTAGCACTTACTGACCAGACATCTTTTCCAGGCCCAAAGCAGCACAACTCATCTTTTCTGTGATCCACACTCCATAAGCAGCACTGGTGAAAATCTATCTATAGAAAACTAAAATTGGCTGAGAGCTGTCAAATGAACTCTGACTACAAGTTACTTCAGTATTTTCTTAAACACATTTTCGGTCTTATTCCTTATTTTATTATATCCTTATATTCGTATAATTACTTTTTTAAACTTAGCTTTAACAATTTAAGTAGAACTATTCCTGTGTATACCATCCTGGTTATCATATGCTCTTGTAGTTTCAATTACAGCTAAGTATGTACTCTGGGAGACACTAACAAATAATGCACCAGACCTGTGATTCCTCCTAATTCAGAGTATCACTCTGGAAGAGGAGAATTTCCTGTATCTTTAGCAGG